TTCTCTATAAGGGCTATTTCTTCCTATAAAGCTGTTTTGCTTTCTTATCCTTAGTGTGTTCACTAGAGTAGCACATTTAATTTCTTTTAAGAATTTTTTCCTTGTATTCACAACTAACTGTTTGGCATAAGAGGAGCAGCTTCTAGCCTTTCTTAGCTTTGGCAGACCTTCCTTGCTAAGCTTAATAATTTCTAGCTTTTGGTGTAAAGTGAGAGAAATGTGACTATCCCTTTCATTTGAGGACTTAGAGGCCTCAAATTGGGTTATTAATTGGTCTAATTTAATATTAATATATCTCAGGGAGTAGGGAGGCCTGAGGAGAGGGAGAACGGTGAGGAATTGGCTTGTTGGTGGAACAGTCAGAACATACACACCATTTCAGTTAAGTTTGCCTCTTCTATGGGCATGGTTTGTGACACCCCAAAATAATGACACTGGTGACAGCAAAATCACTGCTTGCAGATTTCTCTAACAGATATAATAATGATGAAAACATTTGAAATCTTGTGAAAATTACCACAATGTGACACAGGCATTTGAAGTGAGTACATGATTTTGGAAAAATGAAGATTTGCCAAAAACCTTCAATTGGTGAAATAAATGCAGTATCTGTGAAGCAGTCAAACAACATATCTGTATGTTTAGAAGGTGACTCTGTGGTGGTTTCTCAAAAAGTTGAACACATAATTACTATGGGATCTTGCAGTTCCACATACAAAAGAATTGAAAATGGAAGTTCAAACTGTTATTTGTACATCTGTGTTCAAGGTGTCATTATTCACAGAAGCCAAAAGGTGAGAACAACCTAAATGTCCATCAAGGGACAAATGGATAAACACCATGTGGTATATACGTATGTGGTGGAATAGTATCCAGCCTCAGATAGGAATAAAATTCCTACATTAATACATGCTATGATATGGATGAACATCGAAGACATTATAGTATTAAGTGAAAGAAGCTAGACGTAAAAGAGCAAATATTGTACTGTTCCACTTTTATGAGGCATGTACCTAGACTAGAATAGTCACATTCATAGAAACATAAAGTGCGATAATGGTACCAGAGGCTGGGAGAGAAGGGATACCCTTTAATGGTATAGATTTGCAGTTTGGGATGATGCAAAAGTTGTGAAAATGGGGAGTGAGGATGATGAATATACTTAATTCCACTGAACCATATACTTAAAAACATGTGAAGTGGTATGGCTCAGCGCCTTTAGCGCAGTGGTTATGGCCCAGCCACATACACTGAAGGTGGCGGGTTCAAGCCCAGCCCGGGCCAGCTAACCAACAATGACAACTGCAGCAACAACAAGAAAAATAGCCGGGCGTTGTGTTGGGCACCTGTGGTCCCAGCTGCATGGGAGGCTGAGGCAGGAGAATCGCTTGAGCCTAAGAGTTTGAGGTTGCTGTGAGCTGTGATGCCACGGCACTCTACCGAGGGCAACAAAGTAAGATACTGTCTCTTAAAAAAAAAAGAAAAGAAACATTACGAGGACGAATAAGCAACTAATAAAGGTTGTCAAACTCCAGGGAGGCAGCAAGAGCAGTGGTAGTGAGACGTCTCAATATTTATTTGTATGTACTTTTGATTTTTGAACCATGTAAATGTATTATCTAATTAAATTAACTTTGAAACATAGTACTTAAAATGAATTCACTGTAAAGGGATCAACAATTTGTAGTTACAGAGAATGTAATTTTTTAAAGATGTTGATTAAATATTGCTACAAGTGTCATGCCCTCTCCCAGGCAAGTGAGACCCAGGGATTTGCAATCTGTGCCAATGTCTGGTGGTTGAAGAGCCTGGCTGAAAAATGCAAAAGGAGAGTTTCATCTCCCTATCTCCTTCAGGCTGCATAGGGAACGTCTTTTGGGTAGAAAACAAAAGCAACCTCTCAAAGTTCATCAATATTAAGGAGTCGGCTTGGCGCCTGTGGCTCAAGTGGCTAAGGC